TTAACGATAACAGGAGACTAAGTTTCAACACTTGAGAGGTTCAGCTTGTTTTGCGTACACACTCATTTATTTTGGTCTGCGCTGCAAATTATGCATATTCTTTGACGCATTTCCCATAATGGGTTTAATAACTTGACGATTTTTGACAGTGCAGCGTGTGTATATACACTGACGCATAAAATATCAACTTCTATATGCTTCTCGCGTTAGCTCTCTTTAAGCGTTAGCTCTCTTTAAGTGAGTGGAAGAGTCCCCTTGCCTCTGTGCCCTCTTAAACCTACGGTCGATGAAGTTAATGTGAGAGGCGAAACTGTACTTCTAAACTGCTTTCAATTCTTGGCATTAATTCTTTAGAGAACCTGCACCTGCTCATGAACATCTCTGTAACAGATGATTCTCGGGCATAAGAATTTTTCTGCATTTTCGCTCTCAGAAAATATTCTTTCAAATTTCTGCCTGGTCAACTGTGAATATCTTCTCCTTTAATTTGCTGAAATTGTCCTCTAATAACGATGTAGATGTTTCTTGACAATGGTTTTGTCAATGCTCTAAAAGTTGCTATTGAACCTTTAATATATAAAAGACTGATTTTATCGTCAAAATGTTTTTGACTGAAGGAGAGTAACATTGTCTCGAATTACCAGTTCGCCTTACGTCTTTATAAGCATATATAAATATCGGTTTGAAAAATAAACGTTATATGATTAACTTCTAAGAAATATCATTGTTTTGAACTATATGTATTGCTATTTCGTTAATCTATCTTACATGAGAAGTATCACACTGATATTACATAACACGAAAAGATATTTTATTGCATAAAATCATCATAAAACTATTAGACATTTACAACATATAAACAAATAATTAACGCTTAAACATTTAATCTGCAATAGAAAGTGTTGAAACATACTTTTAAAAATATTCTCCAACATAGATGAAAAGTTACTACGTTCCGTGGAAGGTGATAAACAGTTATTATTGCATTGTCACGTGTGAAGTTTCGTACTTCTGTTTAGGGTTAAATGCATTATGCACTTTTGGTTCCTAAAGCTTCCTTGAAATGCCCCTGAGAGTGTGCGAGCCATAGTCAGACTCCACGGATGGTGGTTTGTCCGTACGAAATTATTCGTCTATCTTAAGTTTCACACGGTCGTGACAAACGTGTAAACTTTGCAACATCAAGAAACTAACTTCGTTTTAATACCTTATGTATGAATGTCGCCATTCGGTGTCAAATTGAATACGGGTGACATTGTTAAGCGTCATACAAATGCAGGGACTTTATTTACCTGTATTATTTCGGTTCTCTTATAGCCGCGATCCTGCCGAGAACGGTTCACAGGCAATTGTGTATAAGAGTGGCAATAATATTGTGGTGGTCGCGGTACCGCGTACGCCTCTGCGTTTTCTTAAAAAACTATTTCTTCTTTTCGCCGCTATTGTTTCCTACCTTCTTTCTTTTCTAGCAATACTGGGCCCGTCCAAATGCACATTTGGCAAACAGGCCCGCATAAGTCAAATTTCTAACTTCCACTTTCTCTATCGCTCACGAGTGCTTTAGGATCTGACCTGTGCCTGGTTAGAGTCTACCCTTAGACCCTTAATGATCCCTTCACTTTCTCTTTTCTATTACGCTCTTCCGCTGCGTCAATCTCTATCTGTTTTTTTTCAGGATTTCGCAGCTTTCCTCTCCTTCTCGATTCTCTGTCCATTTACATCTTTCTTCTTTCTCTACAGACTTTTTCTTCGAGGAGACTCGAATGAGGCAAGTCAACAAACTTCGACACCACCGATATTGCGTTTTCCTAGCGGTCCATACGCGAATCTTGGAAGTACTTAATAAACTTGTGTTAAGAAACGGATATACGGAGTTCCATATTATTTACTTATCGTTCCCCACAATATCAAAGAAATGATAGTGTATATTTACTTCTCAACACTTGTTTTGTTGCTCAAGTACATAACAAATCTAACCACAAATTTCTGTTGTATGTTTCATTATCATCGCCGCTTTCATCGTTCATCGCAACTCTAACGTAAATACATCCTTAGTCTTCATCGCAATACATCTCCTAGAAAAACCGGAAAATGCCAGTATTTATTTCTGTTTTTCGTATTATATCGGATTTGATATAGCTTCTTGGCTTTATAGCGACATTAATATTATTCCGGTTTTAAACGTAATTGTTGAATAATCGTCTCCTGCCTTAGCGGTAAGGGATCAATATTAACAACCCATCAATAAGGTGTTAGTAAGTTTATTGAAGTGTTACTAACAAGTAGTAGAAAGAGTAGACAAATAGAATTGAAATTTTCTGCTAATCTCCTTCAATATGCCATAGGGCAGTACATAAAGGAGGTATAGCAATAAAACGAATTCTAAGGTTCTAATTAGAAGTAGTTCGTATTTACGAAAAAAAAATATCAACTTCCAATGCGCTCCATTATGAACCTAGTATTATAAATATCTCAAATTTTGTAATATAACATGTTTTTTGAAGAAAATAATTGTTCATTTTAACAATTTTTACACCTTTAAAATTTAAAAGAAAATAAACATAATGGCAATTGGAAACTTCCTCGTAATATGATGTAAAATAAAAAAAAATTCATAATCGTTATGACGTTTAATTGTTTATATGTTGTTTCAAAATATAGATTTTTATTTATACTGGTTCGAAATTGTTAAAAAATGTAGCTTATTATTCTACCTTCTTTTAACTTTGCTACAAAACACAGTGTACACGAAAACTTATCAATAAAAAAATGTAATGTGTATAATTTATAATTTAAAAACCGGATTCGAAAATTAAAGCAAAAAATTCGTTTTCTTTGTATTACATTATACCTACTTGTAATTAAGATAAAGAAGACCACGACTTTATAACTGACACTCCAAGTATATTATTCTGAAAAATGATAACTTTTTTCTTCACAACTTTTAAAAATTTGGTTCATAACAAATACATAATACATTTTTTTTTATCTTCTACGTCTATTCCAAACGCATATGTAAGTAGTATGTCTCTACCTCTCACAAACGTCATAACAAGCATCCTTATAAATATTTCTATATGAATATTATTATAAACGTAAAAGTTCCTGTAATGTAATTTTTAAACACCTACAAATTATTTTCGTAACGATTTAATCTTTATCGAAATCTTTAAACAGTGTGTACAATTACATATTCATTAATATATGTTTCAAACCTAAGAGTGATCATATACAACATCTTTTGTATTTGATTTCAATATGTAAAAATATTATATATTATAACACCTATCCTTATGATTTCTTCGGTAACAATGACAGGTAAGACTTACTTTATTCCAATGTTATTCCAGTGGAAAAATGAATGCTATATTAATTCAGAATCAAAATAATTAAGAATCACTATAAATATACATAAACTGGAAAATTTGAATATTTATGAGTACAAAATAATATTTGTCTTCAATGAATATAAACGAAAACATTCATATTCAGTGAATTCAACTTAATATCTTGACCATAAATCTCAATATTTAAAGGTAAAAGGTGAAGAATTTGTGAAACACTACGATGAATTTTCAATGGAAGAATTGACGTGCAATAACATTGATTTTTAAGGACAAGATTAATATACAATACATTTTCTAAACAGATATTTGCCAATTCAAAAGTGTAGAGTTAAATACAAACCTTTATAAACCAAAACATGCACTTTTCTTACATCTTGCACAATTATTAATAAGTTTGTACTATATTACTGTAAGACACGTCATAACACTTTTTAGTGCCTTAATTTTAGAAATCAGATTTGTCACATTAAAGACTGTATTTTATTTTTACATAACTTACATCTAACGTATTATATAATTTTAAGAAATCCGTCTTTATTTCATTACTAATATTATTAATTAGAAATTTCCGTTTAATTTTATAGGTAATTCACGGCGTTCATATAGAGCCCGCACATCAGGTGAAGAAACGTAGCATCAGTCAACCACTTCGAATCCTGTTATCATACGATGAAAGCGTCTACAGGTAGGCATATATTATTATAATTATAAACAAATAAGATAATAAAATAAAATTACATGTTTAAAGTTTATTAAACAAAATTAAAGAAATATGAGTCACAGGAAGGTGAATATTGTAATAAAATAATCTAAGAATGCATACAAGAACATTGCTTGCTATACAATTCAATGTCGAAGAACACGAATTAACAATACGATAAATGCTATATTTATATTAAAAAAAGAATAATTACGATGTTTTGTAATTATTAGAATTAATTACAGATTAAGATTTCCGGGTAAAACTGAATATTGAGAAAGATTATTAGCGTTTTGGTTTATAACTTGTTTAATTGTTATAAACCGTCGATAAATTTATTACCACTTGATATATCTGATTAATAGAAGCAATTTTCATGTGTAAATTATTTTTTTTCTCTTACAATTTATGAGTTATGAAATTAATTATTAATTAATTATTTCGATAAAATGGAGAAAATCACCATTTCCAATAATAATGGAATTAATAAATATGTGCAAATATGTTCTTCTTACATGTAGATAATAAATATGCATCTGCTATTGCATTGCGTTATCTAACATCATTTGTATGTTTTCACCATTACGACTTATAATTATCTCAGAAAAACGGAACCCTATACTAAAGTCGACAATACGCAGCAATTTGGCTCCAATTTCATTCTTGGTACGCCAACAGCATCACCATACATGTCGAGAAATTTACTGGACTGCTATTGTTGCCAAAACTTGCCCGGTATTTGTGCTATATAGTATACGTTTTCTTCTGCAAGATGACGTTACGAATATTACTTGTATATAGCGTAACACTGAAATGGTTAGTCTAACTTTGGTACCGTATTACACTCTTTCGAAGCATGAAAAAGTGTAATCGAAATATATTTTACATCCGAAAATTCTCCTCTTCCCAAATACGACCACTTTTAGTTTACATATAAATCCGATAGAATAGCTTTCACAAGTAAAGTTCGATCAATCCCATAATTCCTTTCCGTCAGAAGCAAATACTGTAATACAACAAGTCATAGTGACAAAGAAAATAGCAATTGTTAATAAAAATCAATCTAGATTTAAACATTTCGTAGTTTATCACATTATTATCAGTAAAGACAAATGTGTAGATATTTAGTTCACGTATGAAGGAGTTCATAACATCGGTCTATAAAATTCAACTTTGTTTTGTTGTAGAAGATTTAATGGGCGATATCGATAGTATTTCTTCTGCTGAATTCGAATATGCAATCGGTTTTTCTCTATCGCTCACAGTTTTTTAACAAATCAGTTTTGAAAAGATACTGAGTTTTCAACTTCGAACATTTGTTGTGTCTTAAAACATGTTTAAACATCTTTAAACATGTTTAAACAATACTGAAAGACAAAACGGCACTTGGAATGCACCGATTTTCGCGGATATTTTCCAATTTATCCTAAAAACTAAGCGTCTAGGAGAAAATCTAATTTCAGCATGCAATAGAGCAGATACATATGTACCTTACGAAATCCGTTGAAGAGAGTTCCGTGGAACATTTCGTTATCAATTAAGAGTGAAAAATAGTTGCGTGAAACATAAGCTACCGACAGTGATGCTCAATATCAACGCGTATAAACCAGTTAACTGCGGTAGCACTGCCGACACGATAATGTAAACGCAAGTTTGAACATCTTATTTCTTTTTTCTTTTTTTACAAAATTTATTTTATTTACATTACATCATATTTCAATTGCCTAAAAATTCGTGATGTTATAGCAAGACAAGTTTTGTTTGGCCGTGAAATGACCTTGAAACTATTATACTCCGCAGCTATTATTCCTGCTTGACACAGCTAGTTGGGAAAGGTGTGCCCTTTCACTCGGTCTGCTGACCTGGTACAACTCTAGTGCTAAGAATTATCTAACCTGTGATCACGAAGTCTTCGACTGTTACATGTTCGTTTCTAGATTCATGTTACAAAGATACAATGACATTACTACTATACGTTTAAAAGCTAACAGAGTAAATTTAAAATACAATATAAAATAAATCTGTTCAGTAATCTTCTATTATGATAAATAGATTTTCTTCTAAGTTGATTTCAACTGCCATATTGTATTAAAAAGAGGTATGTCTGATTATTTATGTTGAATAATATACATATGTTACAAATATTTAACAGAAGTCTATCATCAAATTGATATTTGATTTAGGTAAAGTATTGTTTAAGAAAGAAAACTGGATATAAAAGAAGTTATAGAATAGGAAAGCTATAACAGACCTTATACACGGTAACCTTAAAAATTTGCATTCATTTATTTTTAATGCAATTGTATACTTTGATTAGGAGGAAGTCATACAGTACCGAGCACTTTAAGTTTCTTTACTACAGCTTGATTAACTATTAATAAAAATCAAATTTTAAAGAGGTTTGTAATTAAGCTTAACACGTTGAATGCCATGGGGGTCACCGGTGATAATAAATAATTTATCGTAATAATATAAAGACTCTCCAGACAAAGTCATTAAAATCAAATTTAGTAAAGGAATATTTTTGTAACTTACAGTAAACTTCTTAACTGTAAAATTTAAAACAAGTTTGATAATATGATAATGGCCTTTTACATTCTATTCTTCCCGCATAGCATTTACGTTGATGATTATGCTTGAGTTTACATAAGGTTTGGTCTCGTGTTTAACCTGAATACTTTGACCTTTATAATATAGAGAAACCGACACCCGATGGAACACGTTACCCAACTTCGGTTGTAAGCTAACAATTTGCGAATTATTGTTTGTATTTATTTAGTAGCTCAAAGTTTATTAATTAAGAGTCCAAACAAACTTTTTAAAGTTAAGAAAACTATATTATGTAAACAGAGGTGAAAATCCGATTCAATGAATATTCGTAATAACAAACGAAAGAAGATACAAAATCTTTGAAAACTGTTTATGTTAGCTTAAGCAATGCAGAATGCTATCGTTATGATTATTTTTTACATTCCTCATTGTGCATGATGTAAAATGAAAAATTATACAAAAACTTTAATCATTGAATCAGTTTTGCTCCTTGTATATATGTAACGGTAAATGTGATTAATCCGGTAATTATGTATAATTTCCGGTTATTATATATATAATCACCACTAAGTTTGATAAATGTGATGAATTCTTGAATATTTATTAAATTAACCGGCGAGTTTACATAATTCCCAACTCTCGGTCATGATCCAACTCATGATCCAACGATTTTTTATAAAAATTAAAAGAATTTCAGATCCTTGTTAGTTATTTTTTCGAATTTACAATCAAAGGGGGTTCACCAGAATATAGGATTTTTTAGAATTCTAAAGTAAGAACGTGGACGGGAATGGAACTTCCCCGCTTTATATGTACGAAACATTGTATTAACACTAAACCTACAGAGCAGTTAAATTGACTTTTCACAATTCTTCTATAGCAACTTCAGGAATGCGAGATTTGCAGAAATCGAGACTAATTGATTTACAATTCAGTTTGCCTATTGATAAATCAATTTCTTGAATAATTTCTCAGAGAAATATCTGTTATCTTTTTAATAAAAGAGAATTTTTTCTTTGCAAAAAGGAAAAATCAGGAATGCGTCATTTTGACCCGTCTGGTAGGTTTAGTGTTAAACTACTGCAATTGAGCTCGAAATAATCAACCGCGGAACCGTCGTGATTGCGCGGCTATATCTGCACTGCGTCCCAGGCATATTTTTTAATGCAGTAGTGGGAGGAGTTTTTTATGATTATTTCGAAAATTAAAAGGAAGCACTGGTTTTCTCGGACGAAAAAGTTATTCAATATGATAACCTTAACAAAATATTTTAAAATCAACATAATCGACGTTGCATAATTTATATATGCATAATTTCTAAACCGATAAATTTTTAAACATGAAATTTAATATTTAGTCTTCTTTAATCAAGTGCTATCAATATATGTAAAAAAAAGTTTTAAAAGAATCGTGTCCCGAAGTAAAGTTCAACCAAAACATCTATTTCTGCATCCATGGATTAAATGTTGAGTTGATTTTTTTGTTATAGCTTTGAAGCGAAAAGTTTCCCCAAAATGTGACTTACATCGTTTAAAGAGCATGAAATGAGCTTCTCATTCTCAATTTTTTCTTAAAATTTGAAGATACTTTTTTGGGGTATTGCAATTTTATTAAATTTTCGTATGAATACGTGAAAGAATATAATCAAAAACATAAGAACCAGAATTATGACCCAAAAATGCACAAAAATCAAATAAACTGATTTCAACCAGTGGCAACAGACCATTTATTATATAGTTGACGTATTAATTAATTTTTAGTAACATAGGTATGTAACAATACGAAATAAACAATAACCTTGTCTTTCCTCCTCTCCCCGTACATTTCCCGCACTATAATATTTACACGAACTTATAATAATTCTTGTGAATTGTTCTACTTTAATTTTTATTCCTGATTAAAAACAAAGCTAAACTTTGATTTCAGTTGATCAGAAACTGTCGCCAGTAATTTATCATGTTTTCTCGTTATCAATAATTAATCCCGTGTCGCTCATGTACAGCGAATGAAAAAAGTAGAAAATTAACCAGTAAAACTAGGTCCATCAATATCGTCGGTATTTGCACGTTCGGTGATGTCTCTCAGGGGATCAGAGATAGCAGCCAATGGAACAGAAAGCATTAAAATTCCTGTCGGGCGGACTCGCAAACTTGGGCACGTGCCAGACGAACCGCGCACGATTCCTGTATAGATTCGTTTCGCGTGTGACGTCGCCTTATTCAATTTGGAATTCACCTATGACCGTTGGCGATATTTGTAAAAGGTCTATGCCGTTCGGGTGGAAATATGCCAAATGTTTGTATCTGTTCCGAATGGACCCCAGTATTGAATAAGTGTACCGATGTATACGTATAAATCTACTTACGTACTGCACAAATTGATATTGGCAATTTGTGGTACCGGTGTGTTGAGTATCTGCCAACGATAGGTATATG